CACAAACTAGGATAGACACATGGGTTACACAACCTATGTGTGGATGGGAAATTATACAACTGGAAGGAATGGGGTGGGGGGAGAGGAGGTTAGAACAAAAAACTGCCTATATAACATGATCTCATATGTAGAATTATATTTTTAAAGAAATGAGAGGAACCCTGGCTGGTGTAGGCCAGGCCCCTAGCTGGGGGTGTGTGAAAGGCAACCAATTGATGTCTCTCTCACACTGATGATTTTCTCCCTCTTTTTTCTTCCCATCCCCTCTCTCAAAACAAACAAACAAAACAAACAAATAAAACCCACAACAGAATATTTTAGACTAGTATTAGTCATCTGCTATTCACAATATATTAATAAAGGAAAAATGCAAAATAATGTCTATTTCATTTGAACCTATCCTACCAATTCCAATATATGTGTATTTATATGTACATGTTTGTATGAACAGCAGGCCAATACAAACGGAATGCATACCAGTTTATGGGCCCTTGTGATCTGGAGGTGGGAGCAGAGTGGGAACATAATAGTTAGCTTTCCTTTTACACATCTTTATAATGATTGCTCCACTTCTGTCAGCATAAATAATTTATTTTGTAGTTAAAATATCTAATAAAAAAACTTTAAAAGTATATAGAAGTTACAGAAACAATAACATTAAGGGCAATGATATAATATATAAATGAGAATTAATTACACACATGTATAAACACATATGTGCAAGTTGTCCTCTGCTGTTAAAGGAGTGTTTTCATTCACTATAGATTTAGCAAGTTTTTATCTCAGCCAGGACTGTTCTGGGTGTGTAAATATTCAGATAAACCTCTTCTCTGCATGTATATACACTGGAATGTGTAAAATAAAATATAATTTATACAAGCTAGCACATCTAGACTTACAAAGGTATGGTATGTATATATTAATACTTAGACAGTAATTTAATGATCTGATTAATAATAAATGCCAATAGTTGACCTTTAAGTGGAAATATGAATACTATAGTAATTTGTTTATTAATATTACTATGTACTAGAAGTAAAAATTTCTGTAAAGAATGTTATTACAGAGATTCACATTGAGGGCCAAGATGGCGGCATAAGTAGATACGTTTTGCTTCCTTGCACAACCAAAAGAAGGACAACAACAAATTTAAAAATACAAATCCACCAGAGATGCCAAAAAATCGAGCTGTAAGGAAGTCTGACAACCAAGGAATTAATTAAGAAACATTCATCCAGACAGACATCTGGGTCAGAGAAGACAACTGGCAAGGCAGCAGACCAGGCAGGAGTTCTGGTCGCGGGAGGACCAGTCAGTCCCACATCTGTGTGAGGATAAACTGGGAGGAACAACTGGGGAGAGAGACATACCAAGCAACCCAGGGTTCCAGCGCAGGAAATAAAGCCTCAAAACCTTTGGCTGCCAAACCTCTGGGGGTTGTGGTGACAGGAGAAACTTCCAGCCTCACAGGCGAGTTTACTGGAGAGACCCACAGGATCCTGGAATGTACACAAACCCAACTACCCAAGAATCGGCACTAGATGGGCCCAATTCACTTGCAGGTAGCAGGGGAAGTGACTGAAAGCGTGGGGAGAGACAGACAACCAACACTGTTCCCTCTCTGACCCCTCCCCCACATACAGAGCCACAATGCAGAGAAGTGGGGTGGCCTGCCCTGGTGAATACCTAAGGCTCCGCCCCTTACAATGTAACAGGTGCCTTGAGACAAAGAAAAATGGCCCAAATGAAAGAACAGATCAAAACTCCAGAAAAATAACTAAGTGATGAGGACCGAGACAACCTATCAGATGCAGAGTCCAAAACACAGGTAGCCAGGATGCTCCCAGAAATGACTGAGTGCTGCCACAAAGTAAAGGAAGAAGTGAAGGCTATACAAAGAGAAATAAAAGCAAACTATACAGGAACCAACAGTGAAAGGAAGGAAACTGGGACTCAGATCAATGATTTGGAACATAAGGGAGAAATAAACCTTCAACTGGAACAGAGAATGAGGAAACAAGAATTTAAAAAATGAAGAGAGCCTTAGGAACCCCTGGGACAACTTTAAACATTCCAACATCCAAACCACAGGGGTGCCAGAAGGAGAAGAGGCACAGCAAGAAATTGAAAACTTATTTGAAAAAATGAAGGAAAACTTCCCCGATCTAGCAAAGGAAATAGACATGTCAGTCCAGGATGCTCAGAGAGGCCCAAAGAATTTGGATCCAAGGAGGAACACACCAAGACACATCAAGATTAAAGGTAAGGAGAGATTCTTAAAAGCAGCAAGAGGGAAGGAGACAGTTACCTACAAAGGAATTCCCATCAGACTGTCAGCTGATTTCTCAAAAGAAACCTTACAGGCAGGAAGGGGCTAGAAAGAAGTATCTGAAGTCATGAAAAGCAAGGACCTGCATCCAAGATTACTCTCCCCAGCAAAGCTATCCATTCCTTTAGAATGGAAGGGCAGATAAAGTACTTCCCAGATAGGTCAAGTTAAAGGAATTCATCATCACCAAGTCCTTATTACATGCAATATTAAAGGGACTTACCTAAGAAATAGAAGATAAAAAACATGAACAGTCAAATGACAACAAACTCACAACTATCAACAACTGAACCTAAAAAAACAAAAACAAAAACAAACTAAGCAAATAACGAGAATAGGAACAGAATCACAGAGACGGAGATCACGTGGAGGGTTATCAGTGGTGATGGGGAGGGGGGAGAATGGGAGAAAGGGGACAGGGAATAAGAAGCATAGATGGTAGGCACAAAAGAGACAAGGGGAGGGTAAGGATAGTATGGGAAATGGTGAAGCCAAAGAACTTATATGTATGACCCATGGACATGAACTAAGGAGGGGAATGCTGGAGGGAGGGGAGCATGCAAGGCAGAGGGGGATACAGGGGAGAAAAATTGGGACAACTGTAATAGCATAACCAATAAAATATACTTAAAAACAAAATGCTATTATATTTTGAGAAGAGTCAGTAGTTAACAAATGTTTTTTACCCCAAGGGGTTCTTATTTAATCCTGGTTATGACTTGATTTCCTACCAAATAACTAGTCTAAAAGGTAGACTACAAGTCTGACAGATACACATTCCTGCTTTATAAGCAACCCATCCTATTTCTATCATTGGTAATCTAGTTGGAATACATCAATGTCAGTTTGTTACATGGTAACCAATCATTATTGTCAATTCATAGCTAGCTTATTTAAAATATATTTGCCTGATCTAGGTCATGGTCCTAAACTGAATAATTTCAAAGACTGTTCTGCAAAATTCAAGTTGAAGGTTATTAGGGAATCTCAGTTATTTTTTAATTACTGTGTTTCTAAGCAACTCCTCAGGCCAAGAATAGTTCCGTAACTTCAATGCTTTTTGAAAAACAGGCCCAGGGGCTAAAAATATGTGTGGTTCATTCAAAGTGTAGTCATTAGTGTCTACTTGACAGCTTTTGGAGTCTGCCATCATGCTTAAAATAAGACTGAAAATAAAGGTGGGTACAGAATTGTGCTCTTTCACCTCCACACATACTCCTAGGGCCAGGTCCCTCAGAAGTCGGGTAGTCAATATCTTTTTGTTTCAAGGAAGTGATAATAGAACGAACATTTTATATAGATTCTGATAGGCTTCATCTCCTTCCTTCATAAAAGCCCTTCCACCATGCCTGTAGGCTACATACGTAACATATTCAAATAGGTGTCTTCTGGTCTCTGTAGTAACTAATACCTATTTCTTAGTCTCTGCCCTACAAAGGAAGTATTACTTTCCTAACTTTCTCTCAAATAAATGAAAGGTTACACTTTGGCTCAAAAAGCAGATAATTCAGCAATTTTTGCAATATCCATTCCACGTGTTTTAGCATAGAATTCTGCCTGTAGTTGACAATTCAGAAACTGAATTGGCATTATAGACCTCAAACTTAATAAATCAGAAAAAGAGGCTCAGGTTGAGAGTATTTTCTCCCTATTTACAGAACTTAAACTTATACAACAAATGCAAAATCTAATGTAGTGTACATTTCTATTTTTGTTGTGTAACAACTTTACCTCAAAAGACCTGGGGCTCATCACAACATAAAACTCCAAAGCTGCCTGTAAGTTTCACAATCTATTGTTTAAAGAACCTGTGTGTCTTCAATCTGTAGCAGCCACAGAGCCATGTGAGTTCCTCTAGTGCGTGTATTTCTGACAACACATAAAATGATAGCCAAGTCCCCATTTCCTAAGCAGATTCAATGAAGCAAGTATGTCAATCCCCTCTTCACCCCCAAATACCACCTGTAACCATAACTAGGTGTTACTTCTTATCAGAAATTATAGCTAAGGACCCCTTAGTGTGAGCACTGAGGCCCCTCTGGCAACCTTACAGGGATGTTATGAGAAGGACTGTAATACACTCTGAGCCACAAACTAAAAGGACCCAATTCAGAGAAAGATTACTATTTTTAACACATTAGTCTTATCAGAGAGCCTTCTGCTCTTCCCAGTTAAGTAGCTAATGGAATAGTTCACAACCTGCTTTAATATAGAGAGAGCTACTATCATTTTCTTCTCTTATATTCCTCCCTCCCCTTACTGATAAAACGTGAGCTCCCAGAGCCTAAGAAATTTCAGCATGGTATTTTGCTGCTGACGTTATAGAAAGGAAATACATTCTCACCAAACTCCTACAAAATCCTTAAATATTAACAAACAAATGCTTTAAACTCCTAGGTCTATGTTCAACTATTTTATTCTACTTGGATAAGTAAAAGGAGACCAGTTTTAAGACAAACATCTGAATCTTTAGTTTATATATGGAATGCTTTACTTACACTTACTCTGTTCAAAGAAACAGTAGAAGAATAGATTGTATCACAGTTTTTTCTATTCTACATTGGAGAATGATCAGAGGTAATGCCCCAGAGACGACTTGAAAATTAACAACAAACCAATATCCTAATAAAAAAGGAGAAGCTATAGAATTAGGTTTCTTAGGCATACTCACCTTAAATTATTTTGTTGGCCAGGTGGAATGACACTGTAATAAACTGGAATTCCTGCTGTGGGCATAGATCCTTGATTAGACTGATTAGGGAAAATAACGGGCTGTTGATAAGTCTGATGGGCAATTCCTTGGGAACCTTGAGGCAGTGAAACCTAAAATTTGAAAGACAATTTAAAAGAAAAAGGTTTTTTAAAACCTCGCAAATGTTAATGTCTTTCGCTTTTGTAAAACTTTTCAAGTAGGACCAGTTAGGAATAAGCTGAAATTGTCCACAGGCTGTCCTGATAAGTTGGCCATAACACTGCCAGTTTATTTCTAGGTTCTTTTCAGCCAGCTATTGTTTCTCACTAGCATTCATCAATTGTACAGCAGGCTAGATGCATTCCATTATTAAAAAATAAGAGTTATGTCCCCTAAGTAAAAGTTATTTTCAGAAATAAACTATTTTCAAATAAGGACGACCATTTGATATGGAAAGAGTAATACAGTTTACCTCAGGTAGAGCTAAGAAAAACCCAGGCAGGGCACCTGTGAGATACACTGGATCAGAAAGGGTGTGAGCCTTGGAGCTTAAGATATTTAGATGTGGTATCAGCTCTAACTGTTCTGAGGTCTCAGTTCCTTATTTGGAAAAATGGAATGCCACCTACATCTCAGGGGAGTCTTATCTTTACTACAATCTCCATTTACAGGTTCTAGCACAGCAGCCTTTGGTGAACAGTGACTCTTTCAATTCTCTGTTTTCTACATTATCTGCATAAAAACCATATGAACAGAATAGGGCCTTCAATTCTATACTTCAGTTCTCTAATTTGTGTCATTTCTAAAACAGAAACTACACGGGAATAGTGGATTCTTAGTTTAAAAATATGCCACAACATTACAGTTGGATTAAAGTGATTTTAATAAAGCTAATCTAAAAGGTTCTGATGATTATGATGATGTTAGCAACAGCAGTAGAATGACAGCAATATTACTAATAGAGGAGACAATAGAAGTTAGCAATACCAAGCACTTACTGTACGTTCGGGTTCTGTTCTAAACACTTTTGTGTATTACATTGTCTTCCCGACAACCCTAGTAAGATACCTGTATCATCCCCGATTTACAGACGGGGAACCTGGTTAAGTAACTTGCCCAAGGTTGTATAGTTAGTTAGTAAGTATGGAAGTCAGGATTTGAACCCATGCCCTCTGGCTCCAGTGTCTCAGTTCTTTAACCACTTTGCCCTGTTCTGTATATCTGGGCTCCATGACTTATAAGCTCATGATTAACTACTAAGTCTGGACTATACAGCATGTTTCTGAAATGTAACTTGGTCCTTTCAAAATATACAGTAATCTCTTAATTAATTTCAATTTGGCTCAACCATTCATTGCAAAGAGAAATTTACTGGTTTGATGGATCCAACTCTGTATAGCACAATATATTTCAGTCTTTTTGTCTACTGAGGCAGTATTAACATTGTGATATTATTTCTGATTGTATTTGAGTTAATACATATATAGGGTGGACTTAGGGAAAATGACACAATTCAATCTAGATGATTCAAGCTATAGAATAAATCTGTAATTAGTAGTAAAGAAAAAAAAAACTGAAGCACGGAAAAGGAAAGAGGGAATAGCATTTCAGAATGTACAGCCATGGAATACACTCTGCTGAGGACAGATGACTTTTCTGGCCTTTTTTGTAGATAATAGTTTATCACCACTTAGCTCAGCTACTCAATGTAGGTGAAAGTGTAAAGAGGCTGTCATTCATTGCTCATCAGAGCAACACTTCTCACAATCATTCAGACAGTGTAAATACTACATGAAATGCCACGAGAAAATAATTTATAGCTTGTAAAAATGTATGCAATAGGAACTATAACTTCGCTCTGAAGCATTTTTAATATCTAGCTCCATTTTTTAAAACTACATTAACAAGGTTGTAGTTTATTTAAAAGTTATATTTCTTGCCCTGGGCTGTGAGCTACTGGGGGTCAAGGGCAACTCTTATTTACACAGTGTCTGGGCATCTTCTCTAATAGATGTTCAATATACTGGATTAGGTAGCAAGACCAGGGTCCTTGAGAAGGGAGAGTCCCTGGTGTGGTACTGGTCCTAATGACTAGCCATGAATAAAGTTGGGCATGGACAGTCTCATGTACCTAGGCTCATGCACAGAGGGTATGAATTAAAAAGTATGGAAAACGTGAGAAAAGAATGATGCAAAATCAAGTTTCATAATGTATCTTTTCTCTTTTTCCTTAGTTGCTTTCTATAATTAGGGGGCTTCAAAACTAGACATATTCTTTAATGCTCAACAGTCCTTGACAATTTCACATTTTAATTTTAATTTCCTGGAATTTAATAGAATATGATAGTATTTTTGCTCATATACTTCTCTATCCCCAGAATGTTTTCCTAACCAATTTATTTCTGTAATTTTCATTTAAGAAATAGTTTAAGGTTTATATCTTCACAGAAGAATTCTGTATCAAGTCTTTAATCTGCTCATGGCTATATTTCATGATTCTTTCCATTACTGGTCTATGCACTATCACAAATTTGTTTACATGTTTAGATAAAATACATGTACACTGATCTTTTCAACTAGATTGTTTTTACCTTATTGAAATGAATGAAAATGATCTTTGGGTTTCTTAATGTTAGACTCAGTTATGGAAAACCAAGAGGCTAATAAAACAACCCATTTGCAGTTATTCCAGAAAGATGAAGGTAGGTAAAACAAATTTCTGAAAATGTGGCATATTATACTAAAAAATATGACTTATTTATAAAACAGCAGGTATTTCCATTTTAGAACTAGAAGTTAAAATCCATGTCATTTTTAATCCATGCCTTTCCTTTTGGGATGGAGGTGGGGAAAAAAGACCTGTTTCAGCATGGGCAACTGCACAATCTCTACTCTATGAACACTGATGACAGCCTGTATTCTACCTCATTATTCCAAATATCTACTTCCACTTCTATTTTCCCTTCCATTCCATTCTTTTCTCAAAAGAGACCTTCTAAGGACCTAAATTATAGAATAAGACACTTGCTCAAATAATTATGTAGTTGCAAACACAGTCAATGCCAGACAAAATTTACTTGTCAATCTCCAAGTTGTTCAGATATTTTTCCTGAAAATTAATGAAGTGAATGAATAAATAAAATGAAGATAAAACAAAGCTGTTATGATTAACAAAACTCTTAGGACTATGAAGTTATGTATTACAGAGCATTATCCCTATATTAAAAGAAGAGAGATGCGCTGTAGCTATATATTTTATCTACTCAAAATTACCTCTACCAAAAGTAGGTGAGTGATAATGTACCTGATATGTTGGCACTGAAGGATAGGGGATGACCACTCCTTGAATCTGATTTCCAATGCCATTGGGTTGGCCACCAATGAGGGTCTGACTCTGGGGTTGTGAAAGTCCAACTATTCCTTGGTAGTTTTGCTGCTGGTTGGGCATAACTTGATAACCTGTAATGGCACAATGAGTTAAATCCTGCTTTGATTCATTTTATTTCATCTAGTAGAATGTTTTTGTACTGTATGAAGTACTTTGTGTTCTAAAATGACAAAATTTTGTTTCAACAGCAAATCTCAAAAAACCTAGTATGAGAGCAAACATTTAAAAAGTTTACTATGTAGGTGGTACAGGTCAGCAACTTTTTTTTCCCTTTAAAATATATTCAAATTACATTTGTGTACAAACATTTCCTTTGCAGTGCAGATTTATAGGATCGCAGATTTGGTTTATACAGATAATTACTATTAATATTTAGTATATATTACAATCTATTTTGACAACTACCTTCTAGGGACCAGGACTAGCTAAGTAATTTGTGGGGCCCAGTGCAAAAGAAAAATGTTGGGCTCCTTGTTAAAACATTATGGAGAATTTTGCATTAGTAATAGAACATTACCCCAAGCATGGAGCCGTGTGTAAACGCACAAATTGCATGTTCACAAAGCAGGCATTTCTGGAAACACTACTCCCCACAATCACACTAAGTTATAAATCCTTACATTTGGAATGTGCCATAAACACAAGAAAAATGGAGTTATTTAGTAGTATTTATTAGATTATTTCCTTATGGTATTGTTGAGGTCACTAGACAGACAAATAAGATGCTGAAAGAGATTAAATAACCTGCTAAATTCAGTGGAGTCAGGCCAAGATGGAAGTATAGGCAGATATGCTTCGCATCCTTGCACAACCAAAAGAAGGATAACAATCAATTTAAAAACAAAGAACAACCAGAATGGCCATAAAATCATATGCACGGAAGTCCAAAGACAGGCAGCCTGGGCAGAGAGGATGCGGAACAAGACAATGCAGTAGTAGACTGTGCAGGCAGTCCCACATTTGTGCACAGATAAACTGGGAGGAACATGGGGGAACGAGACAAGTGGTGAAATTCAGGGTTTCAGCATGGGAAAATAAAGAAAACCCCTGGCTGTAAAAAATCTGGAGGTTTTGGTGTTGGTGAGGGAAATTCCTAGTCTTTAGGACTCTGTTGAACGGAGAGGCCCACAGGGTCCTAAAACATACACAAACCCACCCACCTGCAAATCATCACCCGAAAGGGCAAAATCCGCTGGTAGGAAGTGAGGGAAAGCAGGAGAAGAGCCAAGCAAGTGGCATTGTTCCCTCTCTAACCCCTCTTCCACAGACAGCATCCGGCACAGCAAACACAGTTGCCCCACCCTGGCAAATACCTAAGGGTCCACCCCTTACCACATAACAGGTGTGTTGAGACAAAGAAAAATGGCCCAAACGAAAAAACAGATCAAAACTCCAGAAAAAGAACTGAATGACAAAGACCTAGACAACCTATCAGATGCAGAGTTCAAAATAGTGGTAATCAGGATGCACACAGAACTGACTGAGCTCTCTCGCAAAATGAAGGGAATAATAAAGGTTATACAAAGTGAAATAAAGCAAACTACACAGGGAACCAACAGTGAAGGGAAGGAAACTGGGACTCAAATCAACAATTTGGAACAAAAGGAAGAAATAAACATCTAATTGGAACAGAATGAAATAAGAATTCAAAAAAATGAAGAGAGGCATAGGAACCTCTGGGACAACTTCAAGCACTCCTACATCTGAATCATAGGGGTGCTAGAAGGAGAAGAGGCACAGCAAGAAACTGAAAACTCATTTGAAAAAATGAAAGAAAACTTCCCCAATCTGGCAAAGGAAATAGACTTCTGGGAAATTCAGGAAGCCCAGAGTATCCCAAAGAAGCTGGACCCAAAAAGGAACATACCAAGACACATAATAATCAAGTTACCCAAGATTAAAGATAAGGAGAGAACCTTAAAAGCAGTAAGAGAAAAAGGGAGAGTTACCTACAAAGGAGTTCCATAAGACTGTCAGCTGATTTCTCAAAAGAAACCTTACAGGCAACAAGGGGGTGGAAAGAAGTATTTGAAGTCATGAAAGACAAGGACCTACAACCAAGATTACTCTGTCCGGCAAAGCTATCATTTAGAATGGAAGGGAGATAAAGTGCTTCCCAGATAGGTCAAGTTAAAGGAGTTCATCATCACCAAGCCATTACTACATGAAATGTTAAAGGGACTTACCTAAGAAAAAGAAGATAAAACATTATGAACAGTGAAATGACTACAAACTCACAACAACTGAACCTGAAAAATAAAAAGTGAGCAAATAATGGGAATAGAAACAGAATTACAGAAATGGAGATCACATGGAGAGTTATCAGTGGAGAAAGGGAGGAGGAGAAACGGGGGAAAAGGGACAGAGAATTAGAAGCATAATTGGCAGGCAGAAAATAGACAGGGGGAGGCTAAGAATAGTATGAGAAATGGAGAAGCCAATGAACTTATATGTATGACCCACGGACATGAACTAAGGGGGTGGGAGAGGAATATGGGTGGGAAGGAGTGTAGGGGGTGGAGGGAACAACTGTAATAGCAAAATCAATAAAATATATTTAAAAAAAGCAAAATAGGTAGGCAGAAAATAAGACAGGGAGGGGTTAAAATTTTTATAGGAAATGGAGCAGCCAAAGAACTTACTATGTACAACCCAAGCACATGAACTAAAGGGGTCAGGAATGCTGGAGGGTGGGGCAGGTGCAGGAAGGAGGGGGATAAAGGAGAGAAAATAATTGGGACAACTGTAATAGCATAATCAATAAAATATGCTAAAAAAAAAAGAGATTAAGTAAACTGCCAGAAGTCACAAATCAAAGGGAAGAGGACAACTCTTCCCTAAGCCAATGGCCTTGATGGTACATAATTTAAGCAGTCAGTTAAGAGTATAAATTTACTTCTATCAAGTGAATTTATCAGTTATTTAAAAAAGAATCCACAATGATAAATTTTAGTAGTGAATATGATTAAATTTTGTCTCCTGATCCTTAGAGGATTCCTTTAGGTAAACCACTTAGTTCAGGACTTATGTAAATTATTAGAAGCTATAGCAAGCCTTTATTAAAAAAAAAAAACACAGAAAAAAATTTTTTTCCAACATCAGGGTATTTAAGTTCCTACAAGGATGAAGCAAAACTATACAGCATTTGTATAGAAATATAAATTTCTATAACTAAAGGTCAGTGAAATGATTTCTCTGATAACACCATAAATATTTTGCTATCTATTTTTCATTTTCACCCTTAGTAATCCCTAAAGCAACAGGAATGGCATAGATCCCATCTCAGGTATGAACTATAACTAATAGCATCACTATAGTTATCCAGGAGCTTTGATGATTCTGTTCAATGACTAAATAATCAAATAAACTCTAGCATCAACCTTCTCTAAAGATATAAATATGAAGTATATCTGGTAACTAAGAACCATATTAACAGCAACAAAGTAAAAATGCAGTTACAGCGAATCCTTTAATAGTGAAGGGTTCTGGAAAATGATGCTATATCTATGGCTACGGTTCTTTATGGTTGTATTTCATATGACTTTTCACCAATCTAACTTTTTATTAAAAATGTATATTCTAGTCCTTACTGTAATAAGTGATTGATAATATGCTGTTTCTTAAACCTTTCTCCCTGTAAATTTCCTAGATTACTTAATTTTGTAGGCAGATAAAGGTAGAGAGAAGAAACTTATTTCTTGCTTTTTAGCATAATAATTAACAATCAACCCTATTTCTAGTTTATGAAATGACAAGTATTTTGAATTCTTACCCTAACATACCAACACACTTTTACCCCTAGGAAAATAAAGGGGCAGGAGTGAAAATGGGATGTGAATATAATGTTTTCTCGTGTTGGAAATGTTGCCTCAGAACACACACACGCACACACACAGCAGAAGATTTAGAACCTGGACTCAGTTCTTATAAACTGAGAAAGTAACTTCTTACTTTGGACTTGTTAGAATTACAGTCCACTAAATTTTTTTAAAAATGTAGATACCTGGCAGACTTCAGTGTAATACAGTTAGTCTTAAAATACCCTAAGAAATGCCTTCCAAGAAGCTTCAAGAAGATGTTTTTCTAATTACTTTTCTATTTTTTCGCAATATATTCAAAGTTAGAGATTGCTCTGAAAGAAAACTTTGGGAAAAAAAAAACCCAGCTAATAATATATGTGCAAATGTACTTCTGATATTCTTTATCTAAGTTTACTAACTTAAAAAAATGCTCTGCTTCCCTCAAACTTAAAACTAAATCATCTTCCCTGATTGGTGTGGCTCAGTGGGTTGGGTGCCTGTCCTGCAAACCAAAAGGCCACTGGTTCGATGCTTGTTCAGGGCATATACCTGGGGGTGGGCCAGGTCCCTTGTTGGTGGTGTGTGAGAGGCAACATATTGATGTTTCTCTCACACCTGATGCTACTCTCCCTCTTTTCTTCACTCCCTTCCCCTCTCCAAGATAAATAAAATCTTTATTTATTTATTTTAAAGATTAAAAAAAAATTTACATTTCGAGGGGAAGGGAAGGAGAGAAGGAGAAATATCAATGTATGGTTGCCTCTTGTGCGTCCCCTGCTGGGAACTGGCCTGCAACCCAGGCATGTGCCCTGACTGGGAATCAAACCTTGATCCTCTGGTTCTCAAGCCCGAGCTCAATCCACTGAGCTACACCAGCCAGGGCTAAATAAAATCTTTTAAAAAATACAATGAAATCATCTAATAGTTCATTGATTATTTTAAAATTTCCATGTGAAAACTTTAAAAGTATGAGTATTTAAATAAAGACCTTTAAATGAAAAATATATTTACTAAGTTTTAGAGAGGCATCTTGGAGACCTTCTGCCTAAAATTCTCTCTTCAGAAAGTCTGACACAGAAAACTGTCGCTACAGATTTTATGTTGTAGTGATGTAATGTAGACTCACTGGGACACTATACCATGGAATTTGCATCAGTGTATTTCTAGTGATATTTCAGATTCCTGAATGCAACTGAATATCCCTTAATATCCATGACTACTAATAGAGATACACATATATAATACATACATACATATGTATGTATACCTCC